ACATACCCTAGGTCCTTGGTTTGTGCTACTGTTTTGAGTTGTGCACATTCCAGTTCTTGGGAATTCAGTGAATTCAAACACTTATATAATATAAACTTGTGATTACAGTAACCATTTCCTCCTGCTGTACAAGAGCATTTATCACAACTGTTAACATTGTGAGGCCTTTCATTCTTCCTCAGTGATTTAAAGCATTCCCCTCTACATGAATTTATTGTCCATATAGGCCTACAATAATCGTCGTGACAGTCATTTTCAAATAAAAATTTGTATCCCTTTTCGAGGGTGTTTTTTTGAGTTTTTCGTTGCTTGTTCAACAATGTAAATGCAAGGAGAGTGCTTTGTAAGAATTGATGCATCTCTACTCCAGCTCTCTTTAGTGGCTACATCTCTAACCAGGAATCGAGCTGATAGCTTTCTGGATTACTGTGCTACGCCTTCCCAGAGTGTAAAATTATTCTGTGCAAGGATCGACTGGAGTATAAACGTTTTTATCCAACTTCTTTCTTACCTCAAAACCTATACATAATAACATAAAAAAACTGATAATGAAAAGCATAAACTTTTTATCGAGATAGAAGTATCGTACATTTTGAAAGGATCAGTTTAGCAACATGAAAAATCCTTTCAATAAGCTTTTATTTAATACCTGATAGATAATCTAAGTCTCTTACGAGCGGTAATAATTAATCGTTTTCAGCTTTTTAAATAAAGGCCCGCATAAAAAATGAAAGAGTATCAAAACCATTGCTAAAAAAGATTACCTGGAAAGAAGTCAAGCTCGTATCTGTTGACGTAAGCCACGACGATTAAGCCAAAACTTTAATTCGCACTTTTTTTTTGCATTTAAATCAGCTCTCGTTTGCCCTCGATATCATCGATCCAGGAATATCTTTGCACAAAAGCTTTAAAGTTACGATAACATACCCATAAAGACATTGTATAAAGAAAATAGTCCTCTTGATATGAAGTAAAAACAGTCCTTTTGATATGAACACACTGCAAAATCAACGTCAACAGAGCTTTCATCTTTGGTAGCCATTTTGGCCGCGTGTATAATCTTTCCGCGATTGACGTCATAAATTAAAAATTCAAGATGGCGTCCCGAATTATTAAAAGCGTGTTATACGAGTTCATCACCCCACCCCCTCCCCCCTGGGGGATACTGTGTGTTGGGGAAAAGTACTGCAATTTTCCGCTGACCACCACGCGGGGTGACCGCTTTGCAAGTTGTGAGAACATCGTTTCTGTCGTTTCTCGGTCCCAGACCTCGTCTCTTCCACGGTTGTCACTCGTTCACTCACGTGTCATCCCTAATCCCTCTGTTCGTTTGTGAAGCATTTGCAAACCACGACTACAAGTGATCATGGCTAACAAATTATCCTCTGATGAACTACCAAAGTTCAATCTTTTCAGCTTCCATGTAATGAATAATTGCACGGACGTGCTCTTGCCTCATCAGTCCGACGCTCTTCAATTTCTTGTCGAAAAGTTCAGTGCTAATCCGCAGTCTAATGGAGCGGCCGGTGATGCTAGCGAAGCGACCTTGCCGAAACGACCACGCTCAGAGGCTAAGGATTTTTATTTGCCACTCCATGCTGGGGTCTCTATGCCTACCGGTTCAGGTAAAACGGGAATTATATGTTGCCTTCCGTATTATCTGGGAAGCATTGGTTTGGAAGAGCCGCCTCCTGGTTCTCTAGCCACTGGAAAACCACGCCATCACTTTAAAAAGCCCATATTGGTGCTCGCCCCTAACCTTGACATTGCAAATCAACTTTATGGGCAAATAGCGGTTGCAGGAGGAATCTCCCACAAGAACTTTCTGTTAGGGAAGAAGATAGTACACAGAGATGATCAGAAGAGAGTCCTTCCCGACGTGATGAAGATTGATGTCACTGATGATTTGACAGATCAATACTCTCTAGAGAGGTATGATGTGATCATAGCAAGCGTTCACAAGTTTCTCTCTAAAAAGACAAGAGAAGAATCGCCAAAGTGGGTAGAGAAGTTTGACGATAACTTGTTCTCATTTGTTATTGTGGACGAAGCTCATCATTTCCCAGCTCCCACTTGGGTAAAAATCTTAAACAAATTTAAACATCATGCAGGAGTAATATTCTTCACTGCAACACCATATAAAAGTGATGAAAAGGAACGTATGGTGTTAGGCAAAGAATTATGGTTTCACTTTACGCTCGAAGATGCTAGAGAAAACAAGGTCATTCGGAAAACAAAAAAACGGAAAACAAAAAGTTAAATGTGACAAAAGAAAAATTAAGAAAGAAAAAGAAACAGCAAAAATAACAGCTCAGCTTACATGGAAAGTGAGAGCCTACACTCCAGGGCCAGGGGCACTTCCATGTAAAATAAAGGGGTTGTTTGTTGAACTTTTGGTGATAAAATTTGTAAATTGGTATGCTTTTGGCCTTCTCTCTCTTTAATGACCCCCACTGTCAAAAATGACCAAAACTATCATTTTGTTATTTGACTTATCACTTTTTGAATTATGTTCATTGCTTGTTAATTTGTTGCATTTTAATATTATTATTGTTAGTAATATTATTGATACCTCTTAAAGGTGAAAATGAATTTAAGTGACTTGCCTGCAAAACAAGAATCTGGTACATTTTAGGGGTGTTCTCAAAGCAATTTCCCAAGCTAAGCATAATGTACCTGGAAACGCATTTCACAGATAACACTGACCAGCACTGACAAAAATTTAACTCTGGGTAAATTCCATTGAGCCACATTCACCAATAAATAGATGAGCTGAGAAAACTGAATAATGTTGCAGTTTGCAGTCTTACATACTAAACTTTAGTAAGTGGCAAAATGTTCTGGTAGGCCTCATGGAGCCTACTGCATGTACTCTGAGGTTACTCATTAGATTACTAATAAAGGCTGTTTACCAATCAGATTTTTGTCTTATCTGTGAGGAAAATACTCAGTCACAAACTCAGTTGGTAGAGTGCCAATCTGCTGAATGAAAGCTTTCAGGTTTGAAACACAGCCAAACTGTCAACCAGGGCTGGGTTGAAACAAAGTCAGGTCAAGATAATCCAGCACTCATGCAAAATTTGAATTCTGATACGAAAGCTTAAAAAGCAAATTCAGTTTATTTCTTTTCTCAACAATTTGATTATTGGATGCTCTGAAAAGAATAGCACAAATTATCTTATGCTTTCGAGTAAAAGAAAAAGAAACCTGGATTAAAATTTAACTAGCCTGCGAGCAAGCTCTCCTATTTGGGAAAGCGAAGTGAGCCTCGCGAGAACACACATTCTTGCAAGACCTGTTTCACTCGCCCAAACAGGAGAGCTTGCTCGCAGGCTAAAGTTTAACCACAGGTTAGCACTAATCAGCCTTCAAACGACTCCGGGCCCAAGGTGTTAACGAAAGGGGCAGTGTAAAATGCAGGCTGAGGACTGACTGAGGACTATTGTTTTTAGGGTTAAAAAACAATGGGACTATTGTTGTCAGGTACTCATTTGCACAGTGAAAACAATAGTCCACAGTCTGCATTTTACACTGACTGCAGAACAAAACATGAAAATTATGTTAGCTGTGGGTATGCAATTGGCCTTACCTCCTTCATCCTTCCTCATCAATTAAAAGAGCTCAAAAAGAAACACACTGCTCTTCAAAATGAGCAGGATTACCATAGCATGTAGTTGTAAGTCATGTTTGAGTGAGCGGCAAAAGATTGGTGTGGGGGTAGAGCTTGTTTGCAGGATATTTGTGAGAGTGTCAAAATTGAATGCAAGAAAACATCAGAGTCCAGCACAGACATTTGACTCAGCTGTACTTAGACCACCACTGATTCACAGCATGACCAGAAAAACAATAATCACAGCTCACTGTAGACTACCTCAAACTAGCAGTAAGCATTCAAATTGTTGCAAAAGGACTCAAATCATCAAATAAACGAAAATGCATTTTATTGTTTGTTGTCACAATGAATAATAACAAACTTTTCCACGATATTGCTTCCCTACTTTATACAGGTAACTTAATCCACATGTACGGTCTTTTATCACCTAGGCCTGGGAGTAAAGAGAAGCATTTTACTATGGACAAACACCTTAACCAATGACAATTTCAAATTTTACTTATTTAATGGATGTTTTATTACTACTTTCTGACATCAGCACTAAACAGTCATTAAAAATTTCTCCCTGTGTGTCCATTCCGCCAAACATCAACAGAACTGGAAGACTACCATCTATTTCAGCCTGTGAAGATACACCATCACCTAGAAGTGAAAATAAATGCACCAGATAAATTGAGCTATTATTTTCGGACAGGATTTTTTAAAATTTGTTAGTAGTGACCGGAACATGACCGGAAATGTTGTGACACTCATTTAAATCGGATCTGACTCTTTTAGTATCGTATTAGTGTTATCCTTTTTTGATTGACATTTGAAATCGGAGTAGCTGGAAAAGAGAGTAGTGCAAAATCACCTTTTGTTGAGATCGGTCGGAGATGAAATGTACGAGTGGATGGTGATATAAATAAAAGAAGGATTTATGATTTAAGTGAGCTATTTTGTGCCCCACAAGTTCGGTACAGCAGTTACCTGTTGATATCGGAATCTCAACAGCACAAAGTGTGTGGTCAAGTCGTGGAGCTGGACTAGGTCCTTTTATTTGTGCTTTTGTCCACGTCAAGGTTTCTATAAGAAGCAATGATAATTAGCTCATAACACAGGAGTTTAATGATAATATTAAGGTATCTGCACAGGCAAATTTTCAACATTTTATTTTGCCCTCAAAATCTTTCTATAGTAAGTTCAGATGATGTAATATGCATATCTGGTGTTCTTTTTTAAATATGCCTTCGCATTTAAGAGAAAATCTACTCAAAAGTTGACTGATTTACCGGAAGTTAAAGAAAAATTTTCATTTTCGTTACTAAGAAAAAGAACGGCAGGAGCGCAATTTGACTCCTCTTTCCAGCATCAAGTTAGCCTGCGTAGCAGGCGCTTGGAAGTAGTGGGCGAAAGAGAGAACGGGCGCGCGCGAGGGAGACACGCGACTCCTTCTCGCGCGCCCGTTTTTTCTTGTGCCCACTATCTCCAAGCGCCTGCTACGCAGGCTAGCATCAAGTTCTATTGATGCACTGAACAAAATTTATTCACTGCTTGAATTCATTGGCAAACGACAGCCGCTGTATGTCCAACTTGATTGTTCTTGCTTCTGTTAAATCTCTAATGACTAATATATACTTGCATCTTGTCAAAATTTGTTATGTTCTTGAAATATGCTCCGTTTTCCAGGGCTTACTATTGTTTTAAATTTACATTACATCGGTGTGTCTTCTCACTTGATATATTCTGACAATTTCGCCGGCAGAGTAAAACGTTTTCTTGGCCCCTAATCCTCTGGTCTGTTTTTCTGCCAATTTCTTTCACTTTACAGAAGAAATTCTTTTCAATTTTGAATAAAACTCTTCTTCAATCTTCATACTTCGGCGGGCTTCACTGCATTAAAGCTGACACTGAGTAACGCATCTTCCGGAAATGCGTCACACCTAGCAACTGGTCACGTATCAAAATCCAAGGGGGCTATAGAGAGGTCATTTGGCATTTTCTTAGGCTTCCACGAGCATTTTACACAGCGGTGATTCAAAATGGCGGGCTAGAAGGTCTGTGATGGTAGTATCGAGGAAAAACAGTTGATTTTGAGAAGAAAATAAGCTTTTTCACACTGGAAAATCGTTAATTACTGCGTGACCAATTTACCTTGACTTACGGGAACCAGTTTTTTGGAGGAATGGATCATTATTTCTTCGTGAAATTTGGCAAATACACAAAGAGCATGTTAATGAACAGATCTGTGTTTGACTAAAGGTTAGAATTGCCGTACAGCTGAGTTATTGATGTCAAAATATGGGTCAAATTACAAAATAGCAAATTGTGCCCTAGAGGCTGGATTAATTGGAGCTGTGTCGTAGTCAAACACAAAATTATTCTATCTTACGTCGTTATTTGTGTTACATTTCTTTTTTAACAATAACTCTAAGGATTCTTCTGAAATTTTGATTTTTCTCTTTCCGTGCCACCCTAGGGGGTAATTAAATTAACACCTTTTGGGTGACATAACATAGTTTATTTTGATATATTCTAGTTCCTCAAGAACTGAGGAATACTGTCAAGGTAGTGACATATAGATATTATCCATAAAACAACCACTAAAAATGATGCAAAAATATGCAAAATTTGCCTGTGCACATACCTTAATGTACGTAATGCTGCCAAAATGGATTAGCCTAAAGGTCAAGTCAATTCACACTGAACTCAAAGTAATTAATTTTTTTGAAGCCATATTGGGCTAATATCAGACAGTAGAGAATTCCCTCAGTCTGCAAGTGTTGGATGATAATACCCAGCCAGATGTTGCTGCTTGAATTTGGAAAATGTTTGTGATTTAGTGGCTATTTGGCTATATAATTATAATTTTTATTATACATAAAACAAAACAACAGCAACAGTGACTGCATACTGAGGAAAGACTTGGACTTAGTTCAGAAAAAGGTCAATAAACTTTGCCACAGTATTATTAACCCGTATCCAACGTATGCACATCATCAAGAGCAGCACCAACTGAATTCATTCCACCATGAATGATAATCTTCCGTCCAATGCATGCTGCAGCATGGGCTGTTCGTGAGCACGGGGCTTGGCCTGTTGGCTGGAGTTTGCTCCATGTGTGATTAACTAGTAAGACAAGAGGCAAAAAGATTATAACAAGTTTATTCAGTTTTGCTTAACAGTTAGTAACCAATCTGGGTTCTCATCTAAAGCTGAGACATCCATGACTCACTGGTTTTGGCTCTACTGACTCTTTGTACGGTGTATCTGAGAGAAGTTGTTGTGTCACATTGCCATGGTAGCAAAATTTCTGGATCTAAGCAAACGTGGTCCTGCAAAATTTAATAGTGAAAAAAATGACGTGTATAACGTTCCTGTACATGACTGCAGCAGGAACAAAACCATACCCCATACTTTTCATCCATTGTTCTATGATGCAGATGATCCTGTCTGTCAAGAACAATTGTTGAGATCCTGAAATTTTGCTAAGATGGTAATGTGATGTCACACTTCTCCTTTCTGTTACGTAAAGCTCTAAATACGTACACTGTTTTTTCTGACTTGTCCCTGCATACCCTTGACTCCTTGTACACAGAAAACAATGTGTTCTGCAGTGGATGCACTGCACATGGATTTCCCATGATGCACTCTTTGCGGCAGTGTAAATTGCAGACTGCAGACTGACTGCGGACTACTGTTTTTAGGGTCTGCAGTCTGTGTTTTGCACTGAACGCTCTTCTTTCCATTTACATGTATTTGTATCAGTCTGGCAGAAATGAGGCACTTATTGTTCAAAAATATAAGACACAGTACTGTAATATCATTTTTTATCTCAGTTTTAATCATGCTTTTTTAAAATATTTTATTTTGGGCAGAAGGTGTAATAATGTTATGACTTTTGCAACAAGTCTGGTTGGCATACCAGTGTTAAATCTGTAAAGATCATCAAACATATCTGTTCCAGCCATTCCACCATGAACATAAATATCTGTTCCAATTGCAACCGACACATGACCGTGTCTGGAACAAGGTGGGCTGCCCTTCACTTCAGGCTGACTCCAACTGTTGTCCTCTGCACATGCAAATAGAACAATATTATTGTTTTGTTTGAAGATTGACCATTTAAAGTAGAACCTCAATACCATGAATTCCTTTTTTCTGATTGCTTATAAACATTGGTTAAGATTTGTTGATCAGTGCCACAGATCACCTTCAGCATTCAATTGAATCAGCCGTTCGGTGCCACTTAAAGTGCACAAAGTTACATGTTATTGGTAACAGAAAATGGAAAAATTTTATTGTTTTTTTCCCACTCTTAATGTATTTATGGCCCGCATGCTTCACGTATGGGCTATACTGTAAATCTGAACTTGATTAGTATTAACACAGAATCCATCAGGAAATTGAGTAATTCCAATTTTTAGTGGACAAAAACCTTGTACCAAAGTATTTTACACAATATCGCATTCTTTTTTACATTTTTCAAGGGCTATAGATGTAATCAGTTATCTGTAATAACATACACCAAAGAAAATTTCTTCTGAAAGCCCAAGAAAATAGAAGTCAAATTTTAAAAAAAAAAACATCTTACACATGAAATTTTCAGAATTTTACCTACATTGTATGTTTTCAGAATTCTTGTGAAATTTGACATTTATTTTCTTGGGCTCCCATTAGAAATAGTCTTTGATGCTATTACAGATAACTAATTATATCTACAGCCCTTGAAAATGTAAAAATGAATGTGACTTTCTTGAAATTATTCTCACTGGTACAAGGTTTTTGGCCACTGAAAATTTAAATTACTCAATTTCTCAGGGGATTCCGTCTTAAAGTGGTACAGTCAAACCTCCCTTAAGACGCCACCCTGTACTCCCGGGGGGGGGGCGGTACTGCCATATATGGGCTATATGGGTATGTGCCGCTGTGAAGGGTATGGTTTTCAAGCAGTTTACTCTAGGATAGGGTATATAAATCAGAGCATTTGGGTCTAGAATAGGGTATCATTTTTCGGGAAACTGATCAGTTGGTTGAAGATTTAATCTAGAATGGGGAAACAGCTACTCTAGGATAGGGGGATTTTGGGAGTTTACTCTAGTATAGGGTAGCAAAATTCAGCTGAACTAGCTCTGGTATAGGTCAAGGCTTCCAGGGTCCCAGCGGCACATCCCCACCCAGAAATTTCTAAAGTACCCCCGCCGGGCCTGTACTACACGTAAGTGGCCAGAAATCAAAGTCCCAAAATAATAGAAAAGTTCAAATTAAACCTCTATTTAATTAAACAACTCAGGTCCCTTTTTGGCCATCCCAATCAGAGTTGTCCCATTGTTGTCACCTCTATCAAGTGACCATCAAACACTAAGTGTATCAAGTCTTGATACACTTAGTTTAACCTCTTTTTAAGAATATGGTGAAGGAAAAAACAGTCCAAGATTGAAGCTGACAACTGATCATGGACCTCTTCCATCACATGTTTGTTTTAAAATAAAGTTATGTTTCTGCTAAAGATGATGCCGATTAATGCCAAACCTCTCCTGAACAGCTACTTGCCGGTACCCCGAGGGTGTCCGCTTAATGGAAGTTTCACTTGATCACCCTTTACAACTAACTATGACCACTGTATTAAATGTTATCACTACATGTAGTTTAATACTTATTTCAATTATGTCTTGATTTTTAAACACATTTTTCTCACTGAATGAGAAATGACTTGGAGTAGAAAAGGAGATCATTATATGGAGAATAATGTGAAACATATTACTAGTTTCAGTCATGATGGTACATCTTACCAGCATTAAAGACATGCAAAGTGGTATCTAGCACAGGATCAGGGCCACTTAATCCACCTCCAAACTCATAAAACTTGCTGCCTACTGACGCCATAGAATGACATGTTCTTGGAGAAGGTGGGTTCCCTATTGTCTCAACTGTTTCCCATTGGCCTTTCCCTGAAAGATAATTTTGTAAATAATTGCTAAACGGTACTTATTCATCCCTGGGATTTTCCCCAAAAATGGGTTTTGAAGCTAGTCAAACCATTTTCCTGGTCACTGTCTCGCTATAAAGAACCAAAACATGCTGTTTATACGAGAAGAACTCTGAGGCCTTCTGTTCCAGATGCTAAATATTGGCTTCTAAAGTTCTAGCATGTGCACAAAGTAATAACAATTCTTGGATGCTAAGTGACAATGCAGTCTCAACTTTTACCTTTTAACTTTTACACAGAGGTGGGGGACCCCAGGTAGGTGAGGTAACCTGCTTAGGTGGGGTAACCCACCTGTCCATATAATATCTCATTTTAATTTGATCACGCTTATGTGATAAGTGGGGTGACCCACAACATGTTTCCTCACCTATCTGGGGTCCCCCACCTCCATGTAAACAGGCCGTTAAATGACAAAATTAAAACTGATAATGTCACAAGGGGTACAAGGGACATGGATCTGCAAGGGTGGTAATGAGTGGTTCAGGGGCAAGTGGGTTAATACATGCTGGTAGACCTTAATTAATTACTAAAACGGTTGCTAATTCTTCAAATGAGAAAAACACAATAATATTACCATAACTACAAACCCTCCCTCACAATCCAGTGGCTACTTCAAGTGCCTACAGTGTACACGTACATACCGTGTCAGCTATTTCGAGAAAGGTTGTCAGAAATAATCCCGAAAGGTAATGTGGGATATGATCAATACACTGTTCCTGACGACTGTAGCTGTCGAACCTACTTTTGTTGCTTTCCTTTAGCACTCGCAAACACATTTTCATGGCCTTTCGTGCCAATTCTTTCAAATTTCTTTGAAAAACAGAGAACTCAAAACCACCCACAATGCCTTTCGGGATTGTTGCGTGCACTTTTTCCGACAACCTTTCCCGAAATAGCTGTATACAGTATGCTGATTGAAGGCTGATTTTGAATATTTTGCCAGCTTCTTAACCTATAATTTTTATTGACATACATGTACTCTACGTGACTATTGAACATGACTATACAAAATACTCACGTTACCTAAATCAAGGAATTGAACATCATTCAAGTTTGTAGCTTGCTGAGCTCCACCAAATACATAAACCCTCTGAGGATTACACTCAGGAATGAATGCCGAGTGCTCATAACGACTGGCGATGCCCTTCCACTCTGGACAGCTCCACTCATATTTTTCTAATGTACCCAAAAAATAGTGGAAAGAAAAAATCACACCTTACATTTCATAGTCAAAAAACTAGAAATTCCAAAAGGGAAAGCAGTGAAATAACATAAGTAATCTGTGAGCACAAAATCAATGAGTCAGTCTGCTGAGTATGGCAAGTGCATGCATCAGTCTTTTTGTTAAAATTAGGCTCAGTACAAAATGGCTCTGCACATGCAAGATCTCCCTGAATTCTGCCACACTCTGCAGGCTAGTCGACCAGTAATGCAGAAGGTAATCAAAAAGTTATGAATAACACAAATGATTAATAAATGACATTATGAGACAAAATAATGGATTCTCAATAAGCCAGAAAAACTTGTTCACTGTAGTAAACTAGCCACTCGTTACTTTCTCATCTGGTGACAGCAATATTTAACAGTTAATGAATGAGGCTGAGTATCTTATGAAGAATTATGGAGATCGAGGAAGGGTGTTATCCGTCGAGGCCGTAGGCCGAGGCGGATAACACCCTCCGAGATCTCCATAATTCTTCATAAGATACGAAAGCCGAATTCAATAACTGTTTTATTATTCATTCAAAATAATTCCTAGTTTAAAAACATAGCTAAAATGTGCTTACCTCCATCGATCCATCGATGTTCTGTTCATCTTCGATAGTGTACGTTTAGGTTTGTCCAGCTCCGCAAATATTCTCCAAATAGCAGATATCGCCCTTCGAGTTGTCTTTTTGCTGTTCTTGCCATGTTTTTAGCTAATTTTTCGCCTAGTTCTTAGTCTTGAAACGAGTGAAATGTCCGCCATTTTTTCAAGTTCACAACCAAAACAACCCAACCTCGTCCCCAGGTCTTCTCGGTTAACGGTGCCTTAACCTGCGAAACGCTGCATTTTTGACGTCATTTCATCGTTAAAGTCAAATTTCTTCCAAATTTGGTCATCAGTGACTGGTTATGGTGAATTAAACGTGTGCTTTTAGCCAATCAGAATCGGGGAAATATTTTAAATGAATAATAATAAATATTAAACAGCTGATGATTCGTTATTGATTAGCTATTCATGCCACCCATTGTTTTCTTTTTCGTCATCAGTTCAGCTTTCACGTAGCTGAATCTCTTACTTTTTATGAACCAAGAAATATATATACAACAAAAGAAACAACCAGCTGCAGGCTACTGATCTGCTATATAAATGTCGGGTGAAGCGATTATAAAGTAAGCTTGACATCTGTCAGTCGAGTCTCCATGGTAACCGTTTCACCCAGACGATAGTTATCTCCCCAAACCATCGTCTAAACCAATAAATTGTAAATAAGAGACAAGAAAACACTGTTATAAGAACACACCTAGATCCAAGACAAACACATCAGCAAAAGATCCATCAGGGTTTGCTCCTCCGATCACTAAAACACGTCTGGATTCACCAGCCACAAATGTACAAGTATGGCCTACTCTAATGCATGGGCCATCTCCCTCCGGAGAGAGAACATACCATACATTAGGTTTTGGAGACGTCTTAGCCTCTAGGATTGGAAGAATCTCCATTTGACAAATAAATCTACTCTCCTTCTTTCGAGTTCGAACTTCCTCGTTCTCCCGCCATTTTGATACTGAGCCAGAAGTTTTCCAGTCAGCGGATTTTGTTAAAGGTGACATGCCTCTAATTAATTTCGTCACCAGACCCTTTTCAACATTGAACGTGGCAAATCCAAAATGGAGGAAATAGTGATTGTGTTTACAATCGCCTACGCGCTTGTTTCACTGTGTTTTGTGGCGCCTCCAAGAGAGTTTGTCAGTGCCGGTTTAACCGTGCAGAATATCCTATCTGGATATTTAGGGAGTGAAGATATGGATTTTGTTGGCTATCATTTGAAAAGAACTACTTCCACTGTGTTACTTCACTCACTGCTTCCACTTGGTAAACATGAGCACTACGCTAAGATAGTTAGATGCTTTTATTTTTATCTTTTCTACAATTATATTTAATATTCAAATCCCGTCTCCCCTCTACTGGAGGTACAGTTGAATTTTAACTTGCAGGAATTTTTTGGTGCCGACATATTTCTTCCCTAATTCGAGACAGGGTGAATCATCAAACGTTAGTACAGCTGTTACCGTCCCTTCGGCAGAAAATTAATGGGAGGAATTTTAGAATACCTGATGACTTATCCGAACGCTTTAAAGAACGACGCACAACACAATGTTCAGGTTTTGTTTTTAATCGAGATGCAAATAAATGGCCGGGTAATCTGAGCTGTCAGTCACACAGGCTGGAGAAAAACATAAAAATGAAAACCAAGTAAAACTCTTTTGTCAAAGGGATTTTTTATAATGAGAAATCTTTTTGAAACTTATTTTGCACTCCAGAAGAATATGGGTGAATCACCATATTAATGTTTTTATTTATTTATTTTTTTTTTTCATACACTCAGGTTACTATATTTGTTTGGGACTGGTTTCACCTAGACTTCGGTTGTTTGACCCAGCAAGAGCAGGATTATCTGCTAATATTTGTCTGTTAGCATGTTTGAGTATTGCTCTTGGTGGTGCTGTTTGTGCTAGATATTGGTCTTGGAATAAATGGTAAGTTCATGAACAAGGTGTATGTTAACATGACTTTGTATGTATAGTAATCATCAATACACAATACCAAGTTGTGTGAAAGCAGTTAGAGAAAACCCAGTGCTAGTTTATATCAGTCTGTCTTTGAACTACTTGGTCCTGACTGCTGTCAGGCTTCAGTTGTTAAAAATATGGACAACACTGTGGACAAATCTTTGAAAGATGGAGCTACACAATTAACTTTCCTATTACCTAAAGTTGGAACACACTAGGTGACAAGTGACAACAACACGTTGCAGTGACAAGTCATGTAGTATATACGGGATAATTTTTGCAACAATATTTGTTTCTGTGATATAATTTATTGTCTCAGTTAGTGAAATCAGAAAATCATGAAATCAGATTGAATTCATTCAAATTGTTGCAACAACAAAATTCTATTGCAGAAACAAAGATTACAAAAAGGCTCCAGTACACACAAAGTATTAGTGGCTGCAGCCTGTCCAGAACTTGTCACCCAACCTGTACACAAGGAGTGATTTGTTGCCAGGACATTTTGCAGTGACATGTTGCTGAGTGTTTTCTGACCTTTAATGAATCTGCTGGAAACAACAGTACTAGTCTTGAAAAAATTCTGGCAGATTGCAAATGATTGGGCTGATTCTTTAAAACTGTTTATTTACTAAAACTGACTAAACTTCAATGTTAATCTCAGAAAACTCAATATTATTGTCTGTCAACAGTTGAGACATGTATTACATGTAGCTATAAATCTAAAGGGCATTTATCTGCATCAGTCGACCTAAACAATCATTACAAACAAGTTCAAGAGACTACATTATTGTGTAAAAGAAATAGAAAATTATTACCATTCAGCTAGCCTACATTACAAGTGCCGGTTATTATATTTTTACAGGCTGCATGAGGGGCAAATGTGAAAATAGGGAAGAGGAGGCGCCTGCAGTGAAGGCCGTAGTTTTCCATTTTCTTTGTTTGCTGATGGTGCATAAAATGCCATTGGCTAAGATCGCCCCTAGGGGGTTAGTCCCGGGGGGTTAGTCTGTCACCCACCTAAATGCATAATTGCCAGTCAATCGAAATTCAAGTCTTGTAAAGAGGCCCTGCCGGGAAGGTGTGGGGGGGCTCATGTCGCCCGCCTGAATCTTAAAACGTCTCGTGTCGGTGTTTATAGATGTTTGTCGCTTATTTTCAGCTTTGCCGTCACTGTTGCAATTTGGCCGAGGGAGGTTGTCTCTTGTCGTGATTTCATTTTACGCACTGTCGCTACTTTTTGGGCCATGTGGCTTGTCAGAATTTACCCTGGCAGGGCCTCTGTAAACACCCCCGTCACAAGCAGCATGACAATGGCTGAAAAACTGTTTAAATCATGCTTGGAAGAAATATTTAAAAAAGCTCAGCTGGAGATGATTTTCGATTTCAGTTTTCATTTTTGAAAAGCATTGTGCCATCTTTTTTGGTAAAGATCTCTTGGCAGTATTACCAGCTGGGTTCCAAGAAAGTTTAATTTTCCATTTTATTCATATATTTGGGGTTCAAAGACTGGAGCCATCTCTGCAAGCTTTGTCATTGTTTCCCTGTTGCAAAGCAGCGGAGGTAACTTCTACGGAATTGTCAGCATGTTAATGAGAGAAAAACTGGACTGTTAAAAAGAAATATAGCAAGGAAAGTATAACATCACATATGTGTCAGCTGAAGCAGCAATGTACAAAGGATTTATGACTGAAATTGCTAACACTGCCCAACACAAATATAGCAGTGTCTTAACGTTCGCGTTTGTGACTGTGGACAGCAGTAGCAGTAGATGAGGAATATTTCAGTGGCCAGTTATTCTGAAGTTTAGTGTCATTTACTTTATGCAGGTATAACCAAAATACACAAGTTTATATTTTCGTTTGGGTTTGTCGTCGGTTTCATGTCGTTAGATGATCACCTTTCAATCAATTTTTTGTCAGTTTAAGCAGCACTGTCCATGGTCTCGGCAGCAGGCACCTCTTCTCCTTTTCTCCCTTTGTGCATCCTCTACTTTTGTTCCTTTGCCCTAAAAAACCAGTGCCTGCTATGCAGGCTACCATTCAGCTAAAATATATTTCTGTATTTAAAAATCAATTTCTCACATTGTTTTCATAAGAAATATATACAGAACAGATGCAGAAGATTTACATTGATATTAGGGGCTAGTGATAGATCTGCACTTTATAAATCCTTAAAAAGAGGTGCTACATAATTTTCTTTTGTTTTTGTCCAGGTCCCACCATCCTTTTGCAAAACTGTTACTTAAGCATGGAAGCCCTTGGAGAGCTGTAGCATCAAGTGTTAACATAGAATTCCGTCGCATCACAAAGTTTTCTACAATAATTGGAGGCACCAGCCTTTACATCACAGATTCATGGATAATTAGTTGCTCGGCATACAAAATAGACATTGCCCATCAACCTGATGTCCACTTGTCAATCATTCATGCAGAAGACCATGCCATTTCTCATGAGAGTAGTGTTGCTGTGCAGTTCTTGAATATCAAAGTTTCTAGCATCACGCCAGGGGTTAAGCCCTTTGTTATTAGACTGAACTCCACAGATTATGGTGACCTGAGGGAAAAGCTGCAAGCTCCAATCAGAAATGCAAGGAATGTTGTAATACACCAATCACTCAGTGACAAGTTTATTGAGGCTTTTAAGGAGCACGTTGCACAGAATGATGCCTATCACTTACAGGATGGAGAAGAGGTGTGTACTGTTTGTAGGAAGATTCTAAAAAAAGGCAAAGCTCAAAACAAAAATCATTTATCAAGATCATTGTTTATTTTCTCTTAGGATAATCAAAATGAATTACTATTGCCTTGAGTTTCATTTGTGAGAGTGGTTACCTCCTCAGATATAACCTGAGATCAGGGTCTATTTTCGTTTCGCTTTGTAAATAACATTCCAGCGGGATCAGGCTCTATTTTCGTTTCGCTTTGTAAATAACATTCTGGCGGGCTTGGTGAAACGAAAACAGTTAGCGGTAGCCGTTAGAGAGAATGTATGAGAACTGCTCAAATTGGGCCTGATCTCAGGTTACCTCAGATATCATATTAAATACAAAAAATTCCATCCCTGGCCTAGACAGCAGTGTAAATTTTGCAGTGCTGTCTAAGCCAGGAATGTTTTAACATAAGCTAGAGTGTTGTAAAGAAAAAGCTAAGCAGTATTATTTACTGATCCAGCTGGCTTTTTAATCAACTACACCTTTGTAATTACCCCATGTGTTTACTTTCCTTGCATTTTGACCTGGTGGTAAGCTCTCTATCAGTCCATGAAATTCACTAGCAACTGCTTTTTAGGTTCATCTCCAATTGAGCTGTTTGCCTTGGAATTCTACCAGCTGTAAAAAGTGTAAGAAGAGCTTCACTTGTAGTCATTGTCCCTTTCCTATCTATTTTGTAAAGGCTCGTCTGTTTTCCTTGCATTTTTTCTTTTCAAAGGTTTCTGTGTATATTTTGTTGTATGAAGCATACAAATGTGGTATGGCCTGAACATCCCAGAATTTAATTCAAATTAATTATACATATGCATCCTTAATCATCTATTTTTGTCTTTTAGGAGCCTGAACAATGTATTGGCTGCATGCAAGCACCTGCAAATATCAAACTACAGAAACTGTGTGCCTCAGCTGGAGAGGGCCAATGTGTGCCCTGTTATTGCCGTCCAATGTGGTGTATAGACTGTATGGGCAAATGGTTTGCCAGTCGACAAGATCAGCACCAGCCTGAGGGCTGGTTAGCAAGTACCTCCCCTTGTCCAACTTGTAGAGCAAAGTTTTGTATGCTTGATGTATGTTTGGTTGGTAGATGATAGTGAAAACACACAGCAAGTGTAGATGAAAAGTGTTCATGGCCACATTGTATAAAGCATTGTCGTTGACAAAGAATTTTAATAATCATCTGTCTTGTAAGCAGTTTTATTTGACCATTGTCACAGTCTTTTTCTTTTACTCCTCTTAAAATCACTGATTTATTTTTTTTAGTATAATGATTCAACTTAGAGGGTTTAGAATCAAAGGTGCAAGCTAGAGGGAGTTGCAATGTTGCTCTGATTCTCTCCTTATCGCCATCAAATGGTGATATGCAAGTGCTGTACCATCTGCTAGTGTTATGAGAAACAACTCTCTCAGTCCTCAATGAATATTGGCATCTGCACATATGGTAAATAATACTGAGTGCTTGATCTCATTAATTTCAGATGGATTGCTGTTACCACAATACTCTTTGTTGTCCATCCAAACTTTTGCATACAGTATAAGCATTGTTTTCAATTTCTTTTGGGCCAATATTAAAATATTGTTGTAGGTTCCAAGAGAAAGTGAAAACAATGCTTATGCTAAATTTTGGAGACTAGAGAGAAAACAAAGACTATAATGGTATAGCCTCCCTGCAGACGTCCTTTGGGGTTCGTTTGTCAGGCATTCATTTCACAAACGAACCCCAAAGGACGTCTGCGAGGAGGCTAATAATGGTACTGTTTTTGAAAAAGGCCTATAAAAATTGTGTCAAATATTACTATAGAGATAAATAAATTATTATGAATATTTGGTTATCATTAGTGTACCGTCAATGTATCAGGTTAAGTCAGACATTTGTAAGGTGCGACTTATTCTACCAGATCTGCATTATTACTGAAATTACTTTTCATAAACCTGTTGTGCAAAATGTGTCATATGGTGAAAAGAAGCTCAAAATAAAGCATTGTCTCAACAGTATGTTGGTTTTTGTTATGATTGCCTGCTACTGCTAGTCCTTTTGTCCTGGCAGAATTCATATTTTTTAAATATTGACCATAATAATTCTCCTGCCCTTTAAGTATGAGGTTTCTCTCTTACATGGCTTTTAACGTTTACAAAGTCATTCGCATCGCTTGTCTGTGACGTTGTTGGTTTGTTTCCAACCGACAAAAACAACTTCTTAAACCTTAAAAGCCATGACAGAGAGAAACCTCTGCTTGCAGGGTATAAATCACCTGGTAATGTTACAGGTTAATATGATAAAGGATAACAAATGAATTAAACTTTTGGTTACTGTACTTTGTAAGTAAAACAAAACAGAAGTAATTGGATGCATACTAGTGGTGCCACACCATAAAGGTGTAAATCAGACTGGATATTTCTCAACATCTGCTGGAAAGTAAACCAAAGCAGTAGGAGAGTTTACCAATTTATTATTAATTGATTTATTAAGTCATATTGTGCAATTATCAATTGCAAAACATTTTCTAATTGCAAAAGCAGAATTCAGGTTCACAGGACATATATTTTAGCTGTCAAGAAGGCATAAAAGCACAATGATATAAGACAAATGGCATCAATTAAGGTTTCTTCATGACTGAGCACCCACCCCTCCCCTAAGTCAACATTAACACTTCTCACTTAAGGCAAAATTGTCACTTAGGGGAGGGGTAGGTGGTCAGTTATCCAGAAACCTGAATTGATCTGGCAAATGGACCATCATTGAGGCCCTGTTAGGGTAAAATTCCGACAGACATAGGGGATAGGGAGGAAGGGAAAAAGGGAGAGGGATTGGCTTTTGCGCTTTTCTCCCTCCCCTCCCCTTTTTGTGCCTGCCAAGAAGGCTAATGCTTTGGCCTTGAAACAGCGACATAAGGCTAGATGTAATGGCGACAAACTATATAAAAATGGGTTAAATACCAATGAATGTTTTTACAATTCAGACTAGGGACATACCCTTTCCTATGAGGGCCTGATTATTCGGTTGAGATAGTTAAGAAATTTTTTTCGCTTCGAAAAGAGTGATGTCTAACTCTTGATCATACAAAATAGTTTGATGGCTAAAACTCTGAGAGAGAAGCTCAAAGAAACGTTTGTCTCTATCGTATCGTATTTTGCATGACAATAGAACTACCGAAGTTGCATCGCATAAGTCTTGCAATGTTTTCAGCAAATCATTGAAGGTATCCTCGATGTAAACGATGTCTGCTCCAAGAACAAAATCAAAAGGTGGCGAAAAAGATGAAACGTTTTGTCCCCATTCAAGTTCCTTTATGGCAACTCTATTCTGATTTTCCCTAGATTTCCCTCTACATTCATCCTTGTAGTATTCAGAGCCATTTTGCGGTCCGTTATGGTAACATCGCCACCGAGTAAGCTAGCCACTATCCCCGCAAAACCTGTCCCAGCTCCTAATTCGATCACTTTCTTTCCCTGCAGTCGTGTCGCTGTCTTCTCAAGATATCGACCAAGAACGATTGCCGCATCCCAAATAACTGCGGCAACACCAACATCGTTCCAGTTTTGGAAGACAGTAAGAGTCCTTCCTGCAAATTCGAAGGCTCTTTCCTTAGCGTAGAATGGGCTTAAAATGGCCGTCGATGGGTCGTAAGGAACGAGGGCCATCTCTGAGAAATTTCTCGAGTATGAAGGAATAAAACAAACCAAAATCAAAGCAGTTATCACTCTGAAACAACGACTGTGGCAAAACTGTACAAAACACCTCTGAAATTCAGGCATAATATGTCAAGCACGAGATAATAATTCCGGAGACAAAGGAAAGAACACTTTTTGCCAGGCGTTCATCTAGGTCCCAGTCTCCAGATTCCAGTCTATTCTCGTTCGATTCGCGCTGATGATGTGACGGAACTATCTTGCAAAATAACTACTTCGTTCTCCTTGCTTGGTCATAACCGGTTTTCCTGGAACAAGACGTTTCGGAGTAAGATATTCCAAGGAAGACAAGATGTGTGGTCTCCATTTTTGAAGTTTAACCTGAAAAGATGGGGTCTAAGGTGGACGCAAAAGTGGTCCTTCTTGGAAAAGAATACAGTGGAAAAACAAGCTTAGTAGAAAGATATTTACACCATAGATTCAACGAAAATGTTCCCTACCAGAACGTAAGTTGTGAAATCTTTAAGATTGTTCCACGAGTAACATGTCCAGGGTTAAACGTTCCTGCTGGCCGGTAAAGTAGTGTAAGCTTAGAAGCTTAGACTATGCAATTTACATAAGTCTTAAGCTTGAGTTGAACTTAACATTACACGGAAATTTTACTCAGGCTAAAAGGTTTGGCAGTTCATCGTTTCTGTTTATTGTTTCCGTTGGTCAATTACCTTTCGCTCTCTAAATCTAAGCAGTGATAGCTACAACAGTTGAAACAATAATAAGATATGCCAAAAATGTATAGCAGCCGAACCCTCCTTCTCATGCCCCCACCCCCTGCACCCATCCCAGCTGTTGAAAGCTAAGCCACTACAGCTGTGGCTTCAAACTTTTTCGATATAGGTAGACTAGAGTATTTTTTTGGCATAAGACTCTTCATTTTATATTATACAGTCAAAACCTTGATTAAATGGCCTCCTATATGAAGCAGCCATCCTCTTACCAGAGGTCTGGCAGATAAAATTGCCTGTTAATCAGAGCAAACAGAAGCTATTTAAGCAGCCAATTAATAAGACGGCCTTATAAAATAGGTTATCTTAACATAGCCAGAGAAAACTGCTGACATTGTGTGACTCCACTACTTGTTTCCCTGAGAAATGATGTCTGTGGAACGGCTGCAGAAATACCGTACTGATGACGCGTCACTACACAGATCTGATTGGTTGGGGCAAATTTCCCTTGGAAGCCATTTTGCAGAGAGTTCTTGGAAGCATTATTTATTTATTTATTTTTTGTGGCCTGTCTGTAAAGTAGCTAATTACCTTAGCTGAGAACATTGACCATGTTTTATGGTACCTTACCTAAGATGTGTCACCACACAGATCTGATTGGTTAGGGCAAATTTCCCTTAGAAGTCATTTTGCAGGGAAACCTGTGGTGGCATTGTGATATGTGGACTGTTTTCTTAGGCTAATTTTGATGCTGCTAAAATAATTATAATTTTTCCTGATCTTGCCTTTTTATTCCTGAATGCTGTACCAGTATCTTGATCTCAGACTAAAACATGTGGACACTTTTTATTTTGTAACCTGATTTTATCCTTCTCTATTGTCCACCCTTACAAGGTTAGAAGTTGTGATATTAGCATCATCACCCAGACAGCAAAGTGCTAAGAAGAACTGAGATTTTTTCAAGTTGCCGGTTCCACTGACCTTAGTTAGTAGAGGAAACTGGTTAGGAAACCCGGCTAACATCAAAGTTGAAAACAATGGTGCCGCAGGTTATGTTGGAAGTTCCCTGACTGTGCACAATCCTTTGTTTTCTAATCACAAATTATGACTGAATAAATTAATGCAATGTTTCTATTGGTCAATAACTTCAAAATTATAGGAATGCTATTGAATGTTGTGCATAGTCAGGTCCAAAAAAGTTAATAAACAACCAAAGTGTAGATATCACATACAGTAATTGTAAAAACTACTTTAAATTTTCCTTCAGTTTATAAAACACTTTTAAAATTCAGCTATAAAATCACTTAAGTCCTCTTTATGTGTACTTTGGTCTAAAAACAGCACAAGAACAGGCCAGAGTACTAGGGCAATAAAATTGACATGTCATAGACATTTTAATTTTCTAAATTTCGAACAAGTGGCAATATTAACGGAAGGAAATTATAGCAGATAGACCTATTCAGCTAACTCAATGTTGTACCCAATTCAAAGCCTTTGGGAATAAAACGTTTTGTTTCTGGAATTGCCATATCCTTTAAATATGAATGCAACATTATAATGCAAATACAGTACGCAAAGAATCTTAACCCCGGGAGATTTGAATTGGTTACAACATTCAGTTAGCCGAATAGGTCTATTTTTTGGGGGATTTTAAAGTGTGCCCGTTGGCCCCATTAATGGGTGACCGCATTAATGGTTTTTTTATAAGGCAATGTATGGCCGTTTTGCTGGGCAAAAAAAATGGTCGTAATAACAAGATGACCTTATTACCGAGGTGGCTGTAAGGTGGGGTTCCTTTGTAATTAAGTTGCCTTGTATTTAATTGAATAACATTTCATTTCTTTCAGACAATCGGAGCAGCCTTTGGTGCTAAAAAGGTCACAGTGGGTAACAAATGTGTAACTCTTGGGATCTGGGTAAATTTATTTATTTAATTTTATTTCATTACTTGAAAAAGTGTGTAAACAAAGCCTTGATTGATTTCTGAGCAAGTGCTGCCAAATGCATGGAATACACTGTGTAGAAGAAAAATTTAACATTGTGTCAAGAGGGTCTTATTCCACATTATCTTCCCATTAAATGCAATGATATTATTTATTATCAATCAAAATGGTCTCATAACCAAATTTAAAGGCTGATGCAGGACAAGAATAGTAAAGAAAATTGACAGAGCTATATACCTGTATGGAAGTGGATGTTTCTGCAGACAAATTATTTCTCCTACATGAAGAGCATTTCAACCCTAAAAAGATCATCTTGCCAAAATCAAGCAACTTTCTTGAAGGCACCCTTGAGAATGAGTAATGTAACATCAAGGTGACATTTTGAATAGATTCTGTTGACTGGCATATGGCCCACTTTTACAGTTCTTGTTTACACAACTTTACAAACAAGGTATTCTCTGTCACTGTTTGATTAACTATAGCGTAGCATTAATCAGTAAGGAGAGAGTAACACTGGTGGATCCAGGGGAGGACCCCCCTTATTTTTAGACCAAACTGAAAAAATTTTTTGGGGGCGACTGGGTCCCCCCCTTATCTAAGTTTCTGGATGACCGGGCCCTCCGCTTATCTCAAGGTCTGAATCCAGCACTGAACAAAAAAATAATTATTATATTTTAGTAAAATCCAACTAGTGGTCTATTATCAATGCTGCATTCTGATTGGTTGAGCTATTAATAGGCTATATGTTGTAGCCCACTAATAGCAAAAAGAGCTGGCTTTGAAAACCAAAACAATGGCGGCTGAATCGCGTTTGCTAACTAAAGTTGTTTTGTCTTGATATTTTTGACCAACTAGTTGGATTTTACTAAATCAATAATTATTCCTCTCGCCCTCATGGCCTCTGATTCAATAGTCCATTTGGCCTTCGGCCTCATGGGCTATTGAGTGAGAGCCCATTCAGGCTTGAGGAATAATTGTTAAATAGCCTTATGGACCCCAGTCTTGAAATTGCACCTACTACTGGCTTGCATGCAGCTATTTTCCCCAATTAGTGACCAAAATTGGCATTAAGAATATTCATCATCACATCGTTGTCTTTTTTTTTTTACATCAGGATACAGCTGGTTCTGAGAGGTATGAAGCCATGAGTCGGATCTATTATCGAGGAGCTAAAGCAGCTGTCTTGTGTTATGGTAAGAAGTACAGGCCTGACTGTACAATGATTTAATTAATATACATGTAGGTTGTTTTTCTGCAACTAAAGATCCCCTTTCGTTAACTCGTTCGCCGCTGGATCCGCACGGGCCATTACGTGCCGCTCTGGGGCGAATGGGTTAATTATTGTTATTTGAGTAATGAGTAGAAAAACCTACCCATTAAATTTAATTTATTGGTATAGTGAAGTAGTTAATTACTTAGTATTTGATACTAATTTGAAAGGAATGATAATGATTAATTTTTTTATCACTGAACCCCTCTACCATTATTCTATACTATTTTGAAGATAGTTAAAGCAAGGTACCAGACGGCCTGAGGAAACAGCACCGAAATTGCATACCGATGACTCATCACTACCCAGATCTTGGTAGTGCTTCTGATTGGTTGGAAATTTGCTTCATCTAATCAGAAGCACTACTATGTTGCATGTACATGTATGACCCAAAGTATTCAAAAAAATAATTAAAAGCTGAAGGAAATAATAATAATAATAATTTAATATTTATATTGCACAAAATACATGTAAATATGATCAAATGTGCATTACATGAAAGTAAATTATCAACATTAATAAGTTATCCAAAATAACTAAAAATATTATATAAAAAAACAATGGATCTATAAAAATATAATATATACATAATCCTAAAAAAAATCCTAATAAAGAGCTAATCTAAAAAAATGGGTCTTAAGTAAACCTTTAAACCTATTAAAATTGGGCTCATTTCGCATTTGTGATGGTAACCCATTCCACAGTTTAGGTGCCGCAGCTAAAAAAGCACGGTCACCCTATGTCTTTTTAGTTAAAGTTCTTGGCGTTTGAACCATGATTCCCATTGCACAGGATTTTAAACTGTATCTCTCTTTCTCCCTTTTGCTAATGAGTTCTTGTAGATATACCGGAGCTTGTCCATGGATTGCTTTAAAAGTAATTATAATAATCTTAAAATGAATCCTAAATTCTACTGGAAGCCAATGAAGCGTACACAGAATTGGTGAGATGTGATAAAACCTTGGAATCTTAAAAATAAGTCTTGCTGCGGAATTGTGGAGTCGTTGTAACTTTGATATTTGTTTAGCTGGTAACCCATACAGAATACTATTACAATAGTCAATGCGCCCAATTATTAGGGCATGAACAAGTGTCTGGGTTGCTTGGCTACTTAAATACTTTCTTATTCGTCTTACATTTGTAATGTAGTAATAGGCTGCTTTACACGTGTTATTGATATTAACTTGAAGACTCATGTTACTATCTATCCATGTCCCTAAGTTCTTGACCGACTGAACAGGCGACACTTGAGCATCCCCTACTGCAAGCGAGTAAACATGAACCTTGGATAGTTGCTGATGGGTGCCTATTATTACAAACTCTGTTTTGCCATCATTGATCTTCAGTTTGTCACACAGCATCCAGGCTCTTATCTCATTTACACGCCATTCCATAGCAGCAATGGCATCATCGGTACTTGAGTCACAGCCAGGTTTAAATGCTAAATATAACTGCGTATCATCTTCATAAGCATAAACACTAGGCAGGTGTCTCTTGACAACTTCAAACAGTTTACTGGCATACAGAGTAAACAGTAACGGCCCTAAACATGACCCTTGAGGAACTCCTTGATTTAACTGTAGAGATTCCGAACACTTGCCACTTAGTGTGACACGCTGAGAACGTCCCGATAGGTATGTCACAAACCACTCCAGTGTTGTACCTTGGATCCCAAAAGTTGTGCTCAGACGAGATAGTAACACAGAATGTTCCACCGTATCGAAGGCAGCACCCAGATCCAACAACACAAGCAAGAATAGTTTATATAGCAATCCAGTTCTCTTGATACTGCAATAATGGCCCTGCGAAAAATATATTGCCCAAGAAATCTCTTTTAATAATTAAAAAGTTAAATGGTGATTGATCAGGGCTACTAATGACAGAAAAAAACAAGATATTGGTGATAACATACTTTTATGGATTGCAGTAAATGTTGTTATTTCATTTTTTTTTTTTTCATTATTTCCACAGATCTCACAGACAGGTCCAGTTTTGAAAGAGCAAAATTCTGGGTAAATGAGCTCAAGACATATGAAGATGTATGTATTAGAAATAATGGAATGCCTCTCTCCTCCTGACTTATGATGAGGTTCAGGAGACTAAAGAAATAAATTGTGAATGAGAATCAAACCAGGTTGAAATCACTTTAAGTTGAATTAAATTTTAAACATGTCAGCTTATTCTTTTTTGCCCTGACTTCATATTTGTGTTATCTTGAATTAAGAGTTAACACAGACTGTTCTCGTTTTTTACTATTGACCTTAATCATGCTTGATAGTCTGTACTACACTGTAGAATGTTGTGTAAGTGATGAAAAGCCTAAACAGTGAGAGATTTAGCTTGTATTAACATTAATACACAATTTTTTTCTTTTGCAGAATTGTAAAATATATCTTTGTGGTACCAAATATGACATGGTTCAAAATGACAAAAAATTACGCCAAGTAGACTACCATACAACAACAGATTATGCAGATGGTATGTGGTTTTCTCAATGGAAAAGATCAATAATAATTTATAGTTAAAATCATAAAGACTCCAGCCATTACTTGATATACCATAGTGCATCCAAAAAAAGCATTATTTTGAATTTCCTGCTCTTGATTGGCAAAATAACAGGCCCTTTTCGCACAGTCTTGAAAGTCCTTGAATTTTGGGGGAAGTCCTGGAAAAGTCCTTGAATTCCATTTTTCCTTGACAAGTCCTTAAATTTCTGTGCAAGTCCTTCAAAAGTCCTTGAATTTTCTCCAACTTTGAATGTAGTGGCCTGGAAAGTGTTTTTGATGCTTTTTGGTTGTCCGAGACAGAATATAAATCATAGCACAGAGAATCTGAAGGTTATTTACATAAAGTGCTCTATGTTTTCTGCCATAATTAACTATCAATTTAAGACAAGTGAACTGAAAAAATGTAGAAAAGTTTGTGAAGTAAACAGTTCAAGCCTTAAAGTCTTATTAGAATAGACTGGGAATGTGCATTTTTGTAGAATCTTTGAAATTATATTCCTAGTAGGTGGTCCTTGAAAATCTAATATGGTCCTTGAAAAATGCTTGCATTTTTTTGTATGAACCCTGAATAAATATTGGGAAGCTGTAATTCAAACTGCTCCTGAGAAATTATAGCTTGGCCAGTGTTAGGTGGTGCTTTTCTCGGCTGTTCTCCAGAGTACTAAACTCTGCCTGTACTGATTTGCCCAGTAAATAATAAACATTGTGTACACTGTGTGAATCATTTACATGCATATCTTGCTTGGCAAAAATGCACTTAGTGTAGATAAATATTAAAACAATAGTTAATTAATTCTTCAGATTATGCATTTTAGATGTCTGGACAACCTTGTTATATATACCCTACCTGTATATTAAGTCCAGGACACTAAAGGATAGAAGAATGGCAGTGAGATTAACTTTTGTTTGTTTTTTTTGCTCAGAGATAAATGCAAAAGTATTTGAGACCTCAAGTAAAAATGGGCACAATGTTGGTGAGTTGGCTTTGTGTTTTATGAATTGCTATACTGGAAAAAGGCCCATTTAAAGTACATTGTATGGTGGCAAAGTTCATTACCAACTCAAGAGGGGGGATCTGGACTATATATTGTCTATGAGGGGTTAAGAACCCAATGATTATGGCCAGGGGTGCTCTTAAGACTGTCAAACTATTGCCCTCTTCAAAGGCCACATTTTGTATACATTGCTACTTGAAATAGGCTCATTTAAGTTACACTGTATGCTGGTAAAGTTCATTACCAACTCAAGAAGGGGAAACTAAGACTGTCAAACTGTGGCGCTTTTGAAAGGACACATTTTGTATACCCTGAAGAAGGTTTGTACACTGAAGGAGGCAGCCTTGCTGAAATGTTGGTTTAAGATCTTATAACAGCATCGATGGTGTTTTGTTGTTCCTGAAAAGTATTTATGGTTGGAAATAACTTTTTGTTAGAATTTTTTTGTCCCAACTTTTTTCTTAGTGCTACAAAGAAGTACAAGTGAAAATAATAATGATAAAAATATATTATATAGGAATGTAGGGATTTAGCTGTTATGAACCAAACTTTGATGTCTTAGACAGTTGTCAGTATGTTTCTGCATCAAACCTCAATTGTGTTTTTAAAGTTTGAGCAATAATATTGATGAACTTCAATTGAAATGTGATCCCGAATATTGTGCTTGTTTGTCAATATTTCTTTAGATGAATTGTTTTTTGAACTGGCCCAAGATTATTCAAGAGAAGAAGAACCACCTGAGCCAGGTGAGTGAGTCTGGGGTGGATTTATTGTGGTGTCCAATTTTTTGTTATTTAGAATTGTGTGGTGCCAGGAAATATATCCATGGGCAGGACTATGTAGACCCCCCAAAAGTTTCCTACAGGTGGGGATCTATAGGCAAAGCCCTATGAAGTGGGATATGGTCATGTTTTATGTGACCGCACATTGTGACATACATGTTCGGTTGTTATAAAAGGTCTTTATGAGAAAATGCAGACAAGAACCATTGCACAGAAAATTCTTGATAGTTTCCACAAAGAACACAGAAATCATCCATCTGCAAAATACAGGAGCCACACAGTCATTTAAAATTTTACCTTTAAAAATAAGTTTAATTAAGTCTTGAAAATTACATTATACTGTAATATTAATCAATTTAGCAGCTAACTACTATCTCTTACTTTCATAAACCTGTTGCTCTAGATTAATTTATTTTGTTAAACCATTTTCTATTTTTTCTCTGTTCTAAAGGAGAGACTGAAAGAGACGCATTGGAATTAACCGAATTTCCACAGCCACATGGAAGAGCGGCCTGTTGTGGCATTAAATTATGATGTTGGGCAATCTCAGCAGTTGTACAGATGAGCAGGGACTTCCCAAGAAATAGAAAACAGTTATTTTTTAATCTATCATATTATGAAGAAATTTGAGATCAAATATAGAGCTGGTTAGCAACATGAATAGTTCAGTTCCCTGGTAAATATGATTAATATAGAGGGGTAGCTATATGTATAATGTGTCTGTCTTGTGCTCAACTGAACTGAAATGAACAATTACGTGTATTTATGTCTTCAGTGCGAAAAATATTCCAAGGCAACAGTTGAACTAATTCCTCATTTTTATATCCTTGTAAGTTCTCCTTATCAATTTGTATGTTCTGTATTATGCTGATCAAAATGTCGGGCTGTGATAGGTGTAGGAGGGCTGTATTTTTTCTCCTCTTGGTTTTTTTAAATTGTTGACACGACTGTGTTGATAGTATTACTGGAACGTTGTAAACATTTTCACCCCGTATGTTTTACGGGTGTCAGTAAACCGCGGGGTTGGGGTTTGGACCGGGGCCGGCGTCTATCTTTTTTTTTTTTAAGAATGCTATTTTAGGGTAAGGGTTAGGTTAAGGTTAGGGTTAGGGTTAGTGTCAACCCTAACCCTGCCCCGACCCCGGCCCCGACCCCGACCCGACCCCGTATTTTACACCATAGCTGGCCATGGAAGTAGACAAGACGTTTTTAGATTTTGATTAGTTATGAACCTATTCTTAGTCCTTGTACTCCCTGAGTCAATAATGCTGAAATGTAGTAATCATTTTGGAGTAATTATTATTGAGTCTTATATTTTGAGTCTGAATTAAATCCACATGAAATTCCTACTATGATTGAATGAAATCTAATTGCATGTCCATTTGATGAGCTAGTTAGTAAGTTCAAAGGGTATGTTTTTGGTTTTCAATGTGTTACAGCATGGGGAATATATTGAGTAAAAGACTTGACCTTGGCCTAATATCGACAATGTTTCTTGATTTGTTATCAGGTAGCTTTAGCAAAGATAACGGTAACGTCAAATGAGAACGCGAGAGCGCGCGGAGCGCGGAGCAGCCTGCGAACACAGACGTATTTCCGGTAGAAGTGTCGACCGGAAATACGTGTGTGTTCGCACGCTACGGGTGGAAAGGACTGGACTCGACTTGCGTAAGTCCGCAGGATGTAAGACCCCTTGACGTAAGACCCGAGGAGGTAAAAACCATGGATAAAAGACCCCTGAAGGTAAGGCCTATGGACGTCAGACCACTGGACGTAAGACCCCTGAACTAGAGACTCCTGGATGTAAGATCCCAGTATGTAAGACCCTTGGATGTGAGACAACTGGACGTAAGACCCTTGAAAGCATGGCCTCTGGACGTAAGACCCCTGGATGTGAAACTCCAAGTCATAAGAGCACTGAACGTGAGACCCCTGGATGAAAGAACCCCTGGACGTGAGATCCCTGACCGTAAGGCCACTGGACGTAACACCCTTGGACGTAAGACCACTGGACGTAAGACCCCTGAACGTAAGACTCCTGATCGTACGATCCCTGGATGAGATACTCCTGTTTGTAAAACCCTTGGATGTAAGAACCTCAAGTAGTAAGTCAAGACCACTTGACGTAAGACCCCTGAGCGTATAAAGACACCGGGATGTAAGACCACTAAACTTAACACTACTTGACGTAAGACCTTTGGGTTAGGACCCGAACCCCAATGTATAATGGCACTGAACGTAAGGCCTCTGGATGTATGAACACATAATCGTATGCCCCTTGATCGTAAGATCCCTAAAAGGAAGACCTCTGCATGTAAGACCCCTGGACGTAAGACCCCAGAATGTAACACGCCTGGATACAACACCTCTGGATGTAAGAAGTGTGTACTATGATTCCTGGAATATCAGATCCCTTTTACGTTCGACTGCTGGACGTAATACCCCGGGATGTAAGACCCCTGGACGTACGACCAGGGTTAAATTTTAATCCGAGTTTCTTTTTCTTTTTCTTTTGTTAAAAAAGCATTTTATCGGATAATTTAGGGCATCAAGTATTAAACTTGTAGAAAAAAAGAATTAAACTGAATTGGCTTTTAAAGCTTTCATTTCTGAATTCAAATTTCACACTAACCCTGGGTTATCTTAACTCAGCTTTGAACAACCCGGCCCTGGACGTAAGACCCCTGGTCGTAACACCACTGGACGTAAGACCCCTTAACATAAGACTCCTGGACTAACACACCCAGACGTAAGACCCCTACATGTGAGACCCTTGGACGTAACACTCTTGCCTAGTCCCTATACGGCGTCTTTCCAGGCCCTCTCGGTCAATGCATTTCGGTGACGTATCCGAGACGAACGGCCGGGAGACGCCTAGACAATCTCGGAGTGCGCATACGTGAGCATTTTTGCATTTTTGAAAAGTTCACACGTTCAACTAAAATAATCTTAAAACTGTTAAATAACTTTGCGCGTGAATATCCTTCGCTTAAAGATCGGCACTATTGACACTATTACAAAAATAACTAACCTGGTTTCTGTTATGAAAGAACAAAAATATTACTTTGAATCGGAAAAAGCACTACTGTATAACGTGCAAGTAATTTCTATTTTATTTCATTCTCAAACGAACCATTAAAATGATATTTCTTTATTGATAAAAAGACTTGAAACAGTAGTTTGTTGACATTCTACCAAATTTAGAGACCAAATTCAACAGCCTGTCCGATTAGTTTGATAAGCTTCCAAATCCAAAAATTAAATTACATAAAATATTTCGAAATGAAATGATAACAAGAAATTTATAGGAGCAAGCGAAAATAGAGAAACGAAAGATAGCTTTTCATGTCCAAGAATGAATATGAACTTATTTCTTTAGCTTACCATCCGATCCTTGATCAAATAATTTTTTTGCGATGCTGTTTTGCTTAGCCTACAAATAGTTTTTGAGATGAAATAAAGTTCAAATTAGGTTAATGACATAAATGAAAAAGAAAGGCCAAAGGACTTTCAACAATGAAAACGTGCATAGAATAAAAATGCTCGGGTTACCTCTTTATCCTCTGTACTCCTCATGGCTGCTGGACATCTTTCATCAGCGCAGAAAAGTTATTGACAGCTCGCCCGCTTCCAAAAGCTCCGCCCCAAGTGAGACAAAATAGGGCCATTTATACGAGGAAAAATAAGACGCGTCTTACATAAGACGCGTCCTAAATAAGACGCGAACTTTCCGTATAAACGGCACATTTCGTCTAAATAAGACGCGGCTTAGCTAAGACGCGTCTTATTTTAGAACAGCCCTTAACACCTGTTCTTAGATAAGACGCGTGTTAGCTAAGACGAGAAAAACGTCGTATAAATGACCTTCGCGTCTTACATAAGACGCGAACGCATAGTACGCATGCGTTAATTTTTGGCAAGCCACATTGGATTGCCGTTGCTAAGGGCAACATTCACATGAAAATGAGTCAAGAACAGAAATAAGACGCGAACCATTTATACGAGCTGTTCTCGTCTTAGATAAGACATGCTCGTATAAATGGTACAGTTCGCGTCTTATTTAAGACGCGTCTTCTGTAAGACGCGTCTTATTTTTCCTCGTATAAATGGCCCTCATGTCTCATTTCTCCGAGTTTGTCTAGGCCTCAAAAACTTTCTCGGACCACGTGACCCAAAACGCATCGGCCGCGCATAATAATGAGGCCTAGGGACTAGGCAGGATAAAACCACCCACGGGGAAACAAGGTTATAGAAATACCAATCGATCCTACGCAGAATATAAAACTACAAATATACGTGATTACAAAGCTAGCCGCGACAGAGCAGGAAATTTATATTTGAGGGTAGGCCAAAGCCGCTCTGCTTACGTCTTCTCCTGTAAAAACACTGTACTGAGTATTTCCTTTTTGTTCGGTATGTGAAAATTAGTATTACAACTAACTTTTTAACAATGTGGAAAAGTAATTAGGAAGTTCGTCTGAACTGCAGGTATTTAAGAACTATAAAACTTTTCAAATTCATAATTTTAAGCTTTTCGAACGTCTGAGAGACGTTGCCAAGCTTTCGGCTTGAATACATGTTTCAAACTGCGCTACAAAGCGCTGCTCTCATGATTGGATTTTCCATGCTGTGATTGGCCGCGGTGATATAGACGTTTTCGACTTTCGCCAAAAACCGAGCTAATACAGATCTGCGTTTGTGTAGTCTAGTAATATTTTTCCTATAAAAGTCACGCAAATATTCGATGATGACCTACTGCGTACCATTAAACTGGACAATATGCAGCAATTTTTGTAGTCACTAAACTATGCTAATAACTACATCAGAATTGAATTTTTCATAACTGCAGCTTAAATACTCCTCCATAGCTCATGCAATTTAATCACAGTTTAACAAATTTTAAAAATACTTAAATCTACAAGAAAATACAATGTTTTATAAACTGAGATACCATTGAACCTGGATGTTATATCCGTTTTTAGGATCCTTGTCCACTGATTATCAAACTACCTTACTGTTACGAATCCTCACGCCCGATACATACAAATCGACCCACCAGCCAGTCACCAAATAATGACGTAGGGATATGGTCCAGAGCATGCAGTAAAAACCCGCGAGAGAGAACCTGGTCTTTAAGAACCTATCAGGCTAGTTTTTGGCGATTAGGCTGGAGCCCTTAATACCAGAACCTGTTTAGCCTATAAACTTTGAAACAGGTTCTTCGCTAAAATCTGTACATTTTGGCAAAAGAACTTCAAAATTCATGCGGTCAGTGTGGCCTAAGTCGTTCTTCTTAAAGTCATTTTTACATAAATACCAATTGGTACCATATCCAGACTCCATATAAGAAATACGATGAATACCACGAAATACTCGTAGCTACAATGTATGTTTTTCTTCAGGAAATAAGAACCTATTTGTTATAGAAAAACCAAATTGCCTTAATTTGTGCTAATTACTATTTAATATGTAAGAACCTGTTTTGGCTCAGTTGGGAAAATGGAAGTCCTTACTCACGGGGTTTTTACTGTATGTAATCTTGCATAAGTTAACCTGTAATTAGGCGGTCTTTCTTCCATTTTTGTTTGGAAGACGAGTGCTTTTCCCCCCCTTTCCCCGAAAAAATAACGCCTGATCGCAGGTTTCGCATAAGGCAACGACAATCAACAGTCTCTTCCATGACATAGCGAAAAAATGATTTTTGTCAGAGAGGGAAGACGTCCAAAAATGCCCGCGCCAGAAACCGGTTTTCTTGAGGAAATTTGGTGCTAAATTCCAGGTTCTAGCAGAAGTATTCCGTGAAATTCCGAAAATAAGCCCCTCCAAATATAGGCCCCCCAAACTCATAACGCAAAAAAAACCCTCCGTTAAATCGCCTCTCCGAATATAAGCCACCCGGGGCTTGTACTTGGAAATTTCCCTCAAATTCAAAATAAGCAAAGCGAAAACTGTACAGTAACACATAAATTTTTGCATTTGCCACTGAAGAACTACGTGTGCAGTCAGAAAGTGTCACAGTTAATTGCTGTTTGCGTGTCTCACTCTTCATTCTTGTTCCATGTAAACAAAGTATTTGCATGTCTGCGTTTTAGAAAGATATACGTCCTTTCTGCAAATTACTGACATAAATTTCATTCCAATTATAAGTCAGCCCAATGAATTTTGAGACGCAAATTTCCTGCCAAGTATAAGCCTAACCGATTTTGAAACGCAAATTTCCCTCCGTATATAAGCCCCTCCAAAAATAAGCCCCTCAAAAAGGGCCTTTGAAAAATATAAGCCCCGGGGCTTATTTTCGGAATTTTACGGTACATAGAAGAAGTCAAAAGAATCCGAGAGATTTGGCGGATCCGTATGTTGACATCAGTGGAAACAGAAGATCTGGAGATTTGCACTGTATAGTATCGGGAGGTTTTCAGAATAGTTTTGAAGGGTTAAAAAAACACGGTAGATGCACACACCATTTTCTAATCAATGAAACTGATTTCACTATAGAAATAATTCTAGAATAAAACTGAGTTTTAAAGCTCTTTGATAAGATTTAAGATGCTTGAAATATAGAAGCAGTGAATTCTGGGCCAACATCTATAACAAAAAAAAAATCAACAATTAAAGAGGCACCAATTATTCGTCTGGGCTTCTTGTTTGTTTGTACCGAGATCTGCAATCTTGGTGTACCAGAAATTCACTGAAATGTATTTCTGGGTTGTAAGATCTTGCCTTGTCGAGGTTATCGATAACATCCTTATGAGTCGATTTCTTCATCACCAGAAGTTGAGAGTGGATGTATCCTAGCTGGCGATATTGGTTTGCCAAATGCTTGGTGTTCTCCTCGCTTGTTAGCTGTATGGCATCGTTCACACACACTTCAGCTTCCGTGAGGGAAGATGATAGTTCCTTTCGCTCTCTGGGGTTCTTTTTTGTCGTGTTGTACCGGAAGAGATTAAATTTGCAGCAGGCAAACTGGAAAGACAAGTAAGCGTCAGTTTTGATTACCTGGCCCATTGCGTCGAAGAGCTGGTGCGCTTTCCGATGATTATCCAGCGCACATTTTTTCCCCTCAGTTGAATTCTCGCACCTCTCTTGGCACAAGGCGACAGCAATTTGCTTGGCTACCTGCAGGTCATCTGCATCTGCATCTTCTTTGACAAGCTCCATTATGATTTCAGCGCCAGCCTCGATATTAAGCTCCGCTAGCGTTGCAGATCTAGACCATTTCAGAAGTGCTAATGAAGAAGTAAGGCGCCGATCAAGACGTTGAGAGAAGTGCTCTTTATACGGCTGGACATTTGGGTGATTCTTGTTGTGGTCATGCAGCTCCATTAACTTGAGTAAAAGACTATTGTGTCGTATCTGGGGATTTCGCTTCAAAAATCCCAAAAGCATCTCCACCGCCTTTTGTTTCGCACCACTGGCGCAAAGATTGTTCACTGTCTTAAGAATACCGCGCACCTTAAATTTCGGGTGCCCGGGAAGACGAACCCGAAAATATGTTTCATCAAACTGAAAATCCGGTGTGTAATTTCCGTTCTCTTTCATTGAACGGAAAATAGTTCGTACTCCTGTCCCTTTCTCTTCGGCCAATTTTCTTTTGACCAGAAATTCTCCCACTCTTCTGTTTCTAGTCTTTACAGGAGGCATATCGCTGTCTTCCATGAAGTGCTCGGGCTTGAGACTTGGGTGTGGGCCAGGGTAACTTATGATGTCGATGTGGGTGGGGTAGATACGGACTTTCACAGGATCAGAATGTTCCGTTTCATAACCTCGGTGATAAAAGGCATTCACCACCGCCTCCCTGAGAGCTTTTCTGGGATACAAAACATAGGCAAGGGACTCTTCCTCTTTGTCCTTTGTTTCCCTCAGTATGTATTCCAGTGTGTTGCTCACTTGTTGGTCTATTGGCCCTACATACTCGTCTTCATGCGCAATATTCTTGTCTTGATCATATATGGTTACTTCTGTCTTTGCTCCTGGAAAATAGTCGCTTGGAGTTTCATTGAAGAAAAGGAATGCGACATTCCGAGGGACTAAACATTTCACCAGTTTTCCTCCCTGCTGTTTATCTCCGAAATTTCTCACCAGACGCATGTTTTCATAAAGCTGCCGGGGACAACGGAGGTCTTGATCACGAATGTTACTGCCGATATCGCTCAGAAACTCTTTAACAAGACTTGAGCTAATGTCCTTTTCGGTGAGCTGGTTTCCTCTCTCTGCGAAAATATATAAGGACCAGTTTACACCCCGTTGTAGAAATCAGCTGATAAGAATGTTCGGAAATTTTCTCAATAGTCTCAGGGAAGTCAATCTAATGAATTCGAACAAACTTTCAATGGGTCTTTCGATCGAACTCAATGGAACTCTGAATCCATGGACTGCATGAGTTCGAAAGTTAGAAGTTTGATTGAACGTAATCGAACTCACTCAAAAAAGTCATTTAAACAACAAAAACAGAACTTTCGCGGAAAAATAGATTTAAAAACAAACTGTATCCTTGTTCGCTTTGAAACTTGGAAAAATAAATCGAACACAATCCAGTGGATTGAATTTGGTTGTGTTTGATTAATTCGATTTCGAATGGTTTGATAATAAATTATTAGATGACCTAACTCACTCAATCCATGAATTCATTTAATTCGATTGAGTGTTCGATGGTCTTCGATTACCGAACCAGTTTGATTGACTACGCAGGGAGTAGTTTAACAGTTTACAATGAAAAGAAACATGTCTTTTTTAAAAAAACTGTTATAAGTAGGTGTGACGATCTGTCACTTTATTAACCTTTCAAAAAATCATTAATAATTCATAAAGAGAAAACAAAAGAAAATGTTTAATGCGTGTCTATATCTGATAAACACACGGCTAAAATTTACGTCCAATTTTTGGACCAAAATAAGCCCAAATCTAAATATTAAAATGAATTAATTTTGAAGCCGTTCAAAGACCTCGCTTTGCCTCGAGTTTTTAAACCTGATAATACACTCCTGATCGTTTTTAAACAGCACATAATCATGCCAAACACTAAAGCCAATCTAAATGTTCCTCTCTCGCTTCCTTTTTCCCGCCATCCCCCTTTTTTCCTGGAACAGGCTACAGTTACAGCAATAGTTTCGGTGAGCGCATAGTTAGTAAAGGAGACTGGTTACTGTACGAAAACCGGCAAACATTAAAGTTGAAAACAACGGTGCTGTAGTTTATGTTGAAAGCTCCCTGACCGTGCACATTCCTTTGTTTTCTGTTCCCAAATTGTGACTGAATAAATTAATGCGATGTTTCTATTGGTCAGCAAGTTCAAAATGATAGGAATGCTATTGAACGTTGTGCACGGTCAGGTCCAAAGGAGCCTAACGAGTTTCCCAACCATTCCACTTTAACAACTATCATGGTGAGTTTGTGTAATGGCATGTGGCATGGCTTGCAGAATGACTCAAAGAAATAGATCAAACTGAAAAGTGCGCCCTTTTTTGGCGCCAATATTATTTGCAAAAGCAGCCGTTTTTTTAATGTTGCCTTTGTTGCGGGCACGACTACGACGACCGATCAAAAATTCACGAAGGACTCCTTCAGTTCTCACTGCCGATTAGCCTTTTTCGCATAGCCACACAAAGATTCTACTTGCCTTTTTTCAGTCGGGCTGCATGGCAGCATAGATACTACATCACGAAAGTCGGCCATTGAAGAAAAGATGTTTTGGAAGGTTGCGCTCGCTTCCGCTTTAATTTTTTTCTGCAAATTTACACGATTAACTTCCCAGTTTTTTTTAACCTTTATTTGTCTTTGAAACCGCGCGAGACGGTGGATTGCATTATCAAGAGTGCTCAGTTTCCTTTTTTGTGGAAAAACGAAAGCTTTTCGTTACGAAACTGTCCATGGAGGAATTCAACCTTGTTTTCTTCACGGCGGAGCGCTCTGTTTTGAAGCAACCAAGGCGGCAGAATTTCCAGTACATTCTCTACTTTGGTCAAGAAAAGTACCCTTTTTATAGGAGTATTTTTGTATTTATAAAGGTTCCATAGACTTTTTGTATATTTTGACATCGGCGTGAAAAAAAAAAAAAAACTACAAAATGTGCCCCGATTTGAAATTAATTTTATGTCGAATTTTGCCATGTGCTCAGCCGATTTTACTTATGTAAATCGCAATTAAGGATTAACTTATGGGTTTTTAAAGACAAATTTCCAAGAAATATTTATCTGTCTATTATTCATTCATGACATTAGGTATTAAGCTCAAAACACGCCTACGATCGTAAGACTACAGGTAGTGAGATTTTTTGAAACAGTTCAGGCGGGCTACTTGTCTTTCTTGAATTGTTATTCATTTCAGGTGTGTTTGCTTAACGCCTCCCTCTAAATGTAAACTGATGCCGAAGGCTCCTAAAGTTAAGCGGGGAGATTTGAAGATTTCTTCTTAGTCGCTTAGTTTTTGTTGAATTAAATTTGATTGCTTTTGTTATAAGTATATAAACGGAGGTTTCACTCTTAGATCAAATCTTGTATTTTGTTTCCTTGGCTTCCTTTGGTTTCCTTGCACACTTGCACAAACAAAGGAGGTGCGAAGAGACGCGGAGAGGCCGAAAGGGGTTAGTCGAGTTAGATAGCAGTTCGCTTCATTCGATTTCTTACGGTGGCCCAAAAGTGTCACGGCAATTTCAATTTGTTCACGGCAATTTCAATTTACTCACGGCAATTTCAATTTATTCTCGGCAATTTCAATTTCTCGAGCAATAAGCCCCAAGTGCATTGTACGTTATTTCAGGAACCCATAACCTGGAGCGAGCAACTCCCATGTGTTGTTGTAACGCATTTTCCCTCTGTTTCTATTGCGTTCTTTTCTCTTTCGGTTGAAAACCGTTTTTTGCTTTTTGAATTATCTTTTGCTTTTCCCCTTATTTTTAAAGACTCAGATAATAAACGGGGATAAGATTCACAACGTTTATTCTCAGGAGCGGTTTTGATTACCTTCAAAACTTCGTCAAGCTCGTTGATCTTGGCTCTTAGAGTGTTTGCTAGCCTATGTACATCACTGTTTTGTACATTGTTAATTCTTGGCGCCGAGTGCGCGCTAGTGAAAGGCTGTGCTAAGTTTACATTACGGGCAGTGTTCTTTCTGCTGGACTTAGCTTGTTGGAGCTTTCTAAGTTTAAAAGAGAGCCTCTCGTGCTGTCTTATGGGATATAACCTACAATGTACTTGAGGCCTATTGCTCGAGAAATTGAAATTGCTGTGAGTAAATTGCAATTGTCGTGAGTAAAATTGAAATTGCCGTGAACCAATTGAAATTGCTGTAACACAATTACGGGCCACCGTAATTTCTGGATTACAGATTAAAACGTTTGAGTGGTGGCGTTACGTATAGCCTGTTCCAGGCGTTCGGATAGTGGAGTGCGACGCGAAGGAAGAGAGCGAGAAAAAAATAAGGAGGAAAAGACCCACACCAACCCACCCCTTTGTTGTTTTTTTTCTGCTCACATATCTCTTTGCGCTGTCCCCACGATCTGAACGCCTGGAACAGGTTACGTTACGTAAGACACGAAAAATATGCTGTCAGTGCTTATTTATTACTTAGGATGGAAGGAATAAGGGGAGGGAAATGCAGTGAAGCTTACCGCTAGTAGAAAAGATTTCCTCCACAATCCATGCTGCTCTGCCTTGTTGATCCAGCAGTAATAAACGGACCGGCAAAGTGGATGATCTCTCAAAAAAGGTGTGGCAAAGACGCGCGCATACTTTTCTGTTTAATTTATTTCTTTGCGCCATTTTCCATACATTACATTCTGCCAAGACCCATAATGGCTCTTGACTCTGGATATTTTATATGTCATTCCGCAAGCCATGCCACCTGACATTCCGCCACAGGTGACCCAAGTGTGAGAGTTTAACCATTAATGCATGTGGTTTCATATTGCGTAATCCTTAAAATGACCGTGATTATAAAGGATCTTGTATGGGAATTCACAGGTAAAAGACTCAAGTAGATATAGACGGTAAGCTGTATTTTATTGAAAATTCTAGCGAGTATTTATCTACTTGACGGTCACGGTCATTTTAAGGATTACGCAATATGAAACCACATGTATTAATGATTAAACTCTCCCACTGAGCTTGGGGCGCCTGTGATAGTTCACCGCAATAGTTTGAGCCTTGTCTAGGTCATGCACGTCAATGGAATGGTAAGGGTTTGTCTTCCCTTTAATTATTTTAATTATTTTGCCATGTAACTTTAAAAAATCATATCTCTTGTGTTATTTACAGTACAATAACAAGCTATACCTCATTGGAAAGGGAAAAGAATACTCTTTCGGAAAAAAAATATTTCGGACTTAGGAAACCCATAATATTCCGCCAACAAATAATTAAAAAAGCATATTTTGCATAAAAAATTTTGTAAATTTTTAAAGAATGTCATTTAGTTAGGAAACTTCTTTATTTTGGGTGATATGGTAGTAAGAAATTTTTTTCATCAATATCTCAGCAAAAAAACCCGAAAATCGTTCTAAAATGTGGAGCGACTAGAAATTTTCTAGAAATATTTTTCTGCACGCCGTCATGATTATGCTAATTAGGTTATCATAATTAGCATAATCCTTTTTGGCGTCACCTCGTGACCTCGTGTTTACTTTACTGATCCATGAGACGCTTTCTTTCCTCGATTTCCAAAGAAATATCGACTTAGAGACAAGCAGACATCAATTTGCTGATAGAATTCATCAAAATAAGCAAGAATTTGACGGCGAAAAGCGAAGCGAAGGCAAAACGGGAAGGAAATCGTCGCCGTTTAAGAACATGTGGCACAGAGTTCGGCGATCGGCGATTTGCATGCAAAGATTCTAAATGTTTCCCTACCTCAATTTTCGGGTTTATTTTGCTTGTTATCCTCCAAAATCCTTCAGAATAGTTTGCTTGACTTGTATTTGGTTGACATTCGTCGATACAAGCTTGCATTCTTCGCAAAATCGGCTCACAAAAATTCCCCGCGACTCGCCATAAAATTCAAAATTTTCGAAAGCTCGGTGTGTCACGGTCAAAAGTCCACAGGGGCTGGAACTAGGCAGGTGATTGGCTAAATCTATTAACTTCCTTTGTGCCAAATTTGGGAGCAATCGCAAGTAACGCAATTTTTTGCGAATTTTTTTCCGGTATCAGTCTTGGGTGGTTGATTTTGCCAGGGCCGGAATTAATTAATAAACCTGAATTGATGTCACGCAAATTAAGTCTATTATAACTTCTACATGAAATCTACGAGAAATGCTCCGTTTAGTCCAAGAAATCAAAACGTTCTTGGTCCCCTTCTTGTTCATTCGTTCGAAACAGTATTACGAAAGAAGTATATATATGCTTGTGAGTTTTCTGACGTATGCGGAAATCTTTTTGTGATCCGACACCGAATCTGTTTTGCCTGACATTTTGCCAAGAACTTCTTTTCAGGACAAAAGTTGAAATTATTAGCTACAAAGCATAAAACTGAGCGACTTTAGTTCAGTTATAGATGCTGATGAAAAGGGGAAACTACTGCCGCGTCAAAATTGGGGCTGTTGACGTCATGATAAACTGCACAGCAGTGCCGCCTTTCTTAATATGTACTTGAATGATAAATTAGCAAAAATCTGAAGTTTACTGACTAAGATGGTAGTAAGGAGGCCAGCTATATCTATCATGTCATTACCCAACTACTAATTAAACGAAATGGGTATTCTTTTTTTTTTTTCAGAAAAAAAAACCAACCTGTAACTTAATGCAGCAGCCGTAGGATGCATGAAAAAAATTAAGTCTGTTAAATGTCGATGGAGCGAAGTCGACTGACAACTGACATGCTTTGAGCTTTAAAAATTTTAAGAACAATTTGCAATCTCTCTTGCGTCATCACAATCTATAATTTTTAACGAAAACCACACTGGTCCCCCTCACAATCTTTTGAAGCTGCTTTGAGAAGCGACTACAACTGGGATTCAGTTATACGGCTAGATATGGTTTTAGAAGGCCTTACGGAGCCTTTCTCGGATCGGAACCTCATGAAATCCTTACCTGAGTCGACAGCCATCCTGTCATCAAAAGGTATCCTATTCTGCATCCGCAGTAGTTCATTTCTTTCCTCTGGTGAGGCCTTTATAGTCTGCGTTCCTCTTCTTATATAATACTGAAATTCCCCCTTGCCGCTTTCTCTACACTGGTGTGGGCCATTTTCACTTGCTGTCACCCAGATCACAAACACATGCTTATTTTCGTATATCTCAGGAGAGAGTATGGGATGATACTCTGGCTTGATGTTTCCTTTGCATAATCCTACCAACTGCTTCTGAATCTTGTCCAGATTCCATTCGAGAATACCAGTGACTTGCAATTGCCCGTCCTCCGAAGGCTTGTCTTCTGCACCTATAATGATGTAGCCACCGTCGTCATTCATGTAGTCATTTGCAAAAGCGCAAATGGTGTGAAGAATTTGCCATGAAGTAGCTCCTGTATTCCAAGACCTTTTGAATTCAACTCTTTACTTTTCAACTCTATGTACAGCCAAGAGATCTTTTATATTAATGATCAGTCTGCTGGCGTATGTGCTTAAAGCCATCTTCCGGGCTTCATCTAAACTTCGTTCTTATGGAATAATTAAAATAATCATCGCCGAATCGAGGTTCTAGGAGATTACGTCATGAATTTTTTAACTGAATGTTATTGTTAAGTCATAGTTAGGGATTTAGCCTATTAGGGATTGGAAGCCATATTTTTCTGTGTATACTTGCTTTCTGCAGTGCCGGCAGCACCGGCCGGGAATTTCGACTGTGGAACGGCTTTGATTCAGACACCGAACATTTCATGTGCCTAACCAAGAGCCATTATGGCTCTTGGCCTAACCTAATACATAATGATAATAACGTATTTTGCAAGCAGTCTGAACGAAATGAACTTTTTCTCCTTTTGAATTTAGTTGGGCTGAAATTAAGATCGGCGTCTGCATAATTTGAGTCGGCCTTAATTACTTCGGCGGAGCGCGAAGTAAAGGATTCGCGCAGCTCAGGAATGTTTCAAAGTTGCACCCGGAGGTCCCGAAGTTGCTTCGGAATTAGTTCGAGATATCTTCGATTTCTTTGATTTATTCTTTCAGGGGAAAGAAATAATTATTACTCTTGGAGGAAAGAAAGAAGAGATAATTATTATTTCTGGCTTTCCCAGGGTTTGAACCGACTAACGTGTGACCCGTCAGATCAGATGAGACTCTAAAATGAGGGATTAGCCAATTGCGCCACTTCGACGCAAGGTAATTTGAAATGTGAAAAATAGCCATAAGTTATGCACGAGGTACGGTTAAAGATTCCGTACGCAAGTTTGTTACTTTTCGGCTTGTTTTGGGTATTTGACGTAGTGATTGATACCGGAATGAGTTGGAGATATCGCGAGATCACTCCTAGTTCTTTCTGCTTTATTCAACAAATATTTGAGGTTGAGCGCAAAGTTTTGCCGTAAACTTGCATTTTGTGAGGCCGGAAGTTGTTCGAGATATCTCGAGATCAGCTCGAGTTGTTTAGTTCGGTTTGTAGTTACTTATCTTTGCCCCGTTAAATCGCGGAGACGAGATTGTAACAGAAAAGTAAAATAAAACATCACATTGATTCGTACATTTCGATCATCTCGTTAAAAAAAGGTCAGACAAGATCATCAAGACAAACTCTCGAACAACAACGTACATCACTGCGCTTTTCATAAACACGCGAATTCTGCAGTTCAAAAGCCATGACGTTTGCTTTTTTCGCAGCCGCCGATCATCTTAGCTGACCTCTTAGAAAACACAAGTTTGCTTCAACGGGTTCAAAAGGTCATGGTTTGTGATTTGTGATTGGTGGATTTCGATCCGTTTTGTGAGTTTCTTTGTTTCAAGGCTCATTGCTTGAAAACACGTAATTGTGAAGGCGGCTTTTAAGCTTCAGAGTTCGCGTGTTTTTGAAAAGCCTAAATCCTGTTTAAAAGCTTCTTTAGTACCGACCAAGCATAAGCCTATTCCCTTTTTAAAACTTTATTCACCTATTCCTATATGTATTTGTTCTCTTTCTTTTAATCTTACTCTGCTGCAAGTCACAAAACTTTTGGGCAACATCTCCTTACGCTCTCGCTCTAAGTCTTATTGTGACCAAAACCCGACGTTAATATTCCAAATGTTTTTGATAGATTTCATCCCTGGACGTCAGACTTCCAAATTTCGTTGAGGTAAAAATACTGAAGATACGGATTAACAATTAAGATCGTAAAAGTGCGATTAAGTGCCGTGCTAGCAGAGCTTTCTTTCCCACATGCCTCTTAACTTGTAAAAGACGTTCGCATGGCAGACATTCGCCTCGTTTCGCTTGTTTACTTGCCTTGTATACGTTAGCAGGTATTGCGTGCCTATTGCACTTTTGCGTCAAAACAAGCCGTTTCGATTACTCTATTTGGGCCACGCCAGATACGATTCGACCCTAAGAAATCAACAGCGGTTTTCCAGAATAAACAAGTATACAAGATTATTCGACAGGAAGATCGTAACCCCTTGAACACCTGTACTAAAACAGGCGGTCATCTTGCAAAAACCTGAAAAAGCCTTTCACAGAGGAAACCCCAACACAAGTACCGAAACCAACACGGTCCGGATTCATTTGGTAAATTAAAACCTGTAAAACCTGCTAAACCAGCTCATCCTGAGATTCCACTCCTTTTTTTCATAAACAAAAGGCTATGACGTCATCGGCGTTAATGTATTCAACCACAAGGTAATAAAATTCCCCATTAAAAAATGATAATTAGGTTCCTACTATACTACTGACCAGGATCGTGAAACCGTTTTCAAATCTTTGTTTAATCTGTGACTTAAAATTTTGTTATGGAAAGCAAGGAGACCAGTTCTGGCATTGCTAAGGCTTTATTACACCCCTTAAGAAGACTGTACCATTAAGCAGCAACCAAATAAGAGCTGTAATGATTTTCATTGTGCTACAGATGTTGGTGATCAACACCAAAGTAAGACCGGGCCTTTTCGTAGTCTGAAAACCTGTAATATTTGGTACCTACAGGTCTCATATGATTCTCTTAATGTTGAAGAAGAAGAAGAGCTTCACTACTGATCTCCTCTTGACAAATCCAACAACTGTGTTTCTCAATGACAGCTGATCGCAGGACTTCCTTATTATTGTTTCTAGTCTCTACCGATTTTAATCACATTCAAAATGTTTTAACAGCATTTCGTTGTTCTGAGTACATTTACGCGTCTTAACGCGAGTGTGAATTCACACAAAAACACTTGCCAGACAGTTTACATTCGTAGGGTTTTCCCCCACTACCAACTCTTTTACGTAGCCTTAGGTTTCCTGCTTGACTAAAACACTTGCCACACTGTTTACATTCAAAAGGTTGTTCACCAGTGTGAACTGTTTTATATATTCTCAAGCTTCCTGCAAGGTAAAACACTTGCCTAACTGTTTACATTCAAACAGCTTTTCCCCAGTGTCAACGCTCTCATGTACCCTCGAGTTTCTTGCTTAGCTAATAACAGTTGCCACACTGTTTACATTCCAAAGGATTTTCCCCCTCTGTAAACGTTTTCATGTACCCTTGGTTTCCCTGCATGGATAAAACACTTGCCACACTGTTTACATTCAAAAGCTTTTTTCGCTACATAAACTTTTTCATGTACTGTAAGCTTCCTGATTGGCTAAAACACTTGCCAAACTGTTTACATTCAAAAGATATTTCCCATGTGTATGAACTCTTTCATGTAGCCTTAGGTTTCGTGCTATGTTAAAACACCCACCACACTGTTTACATTCAGAAGGTTTGTCCCCAGTATGAGCTATTTTTCATATCCGTAGGTTTCCTGCTTGGCGAAAACATTCGCCATACTGTTTACATTCATAAGGCTTTTGCTCTCGTGCGCACTTTTATATGTGTCCTCAGGTGTCCAGCTTGGCTAAGACGCTTGCCACATTGTTTACATTACTTGGCTTTTCTCTTGTGTGAACTCTCATATGTATCTTAAAGGTATCTGCATGGTTAAAACACTTGCCATACTGTTTACACTCAAAAGGCCTTCCCCTAGTGTGCACTTTGTTAATGTTTCCTTAGGTTTCCTGCTTGGTTAAAACACTTACCACAATGTTTAGACTCAAAAGGCTTTCCTCAGTGAGTGAACTTTGTTACGTTTCCTTACGTATCCTGCTTGCCACACTGTTTACATTCTAAAGGTTTTTCCCCTGTGTGAACTCTTTCATGTACCCTTAGATTTCCTGCTTGACTGAAACACTTGCCACACTAATTACATTCAAAAGGTTTTTCTCCTGTGACCTCTTTCATGTACCTTTAGGTTTCCTGCTTGGCTAAAACACTAGCCACACTGTTTACATTCAAAAGGCTTTTCCCCATTGTGAACGCTTTTATTTACCCTCGAAATTCCTCCTTTGATAAAACACTTGCCACATTGTTTACATTCAAAAGGCTTTTCCCCTGTGTGATTGCTTTCATGTATGCTTAGGTTTCCTGCTTGGCTAAAACGCTTTCCACACTGTTTGCATTCAAAGGGTTTTTCCCCTGTGTGAATTTTTTCATGTACCCTTAGATTTCCTGCATACATAAAACACCTGCCACACAATTTAAATTCAAAAGGTGTTTCCCCTGTGTGAATTCTGTTATGTCACCTTAGGTTTCCTGCTTGGCTAAAGGGCTTGTCAGACTGTTTACAGTCATAAGGCTTTTCCCCAGCATGAACTCTTTCATGTCTCCTCAGGCATCGTGCTTGGCTAAAACACTTGCCACACTGTTTACACTCAAATGACATTAAGATCTAGAGCTTATAGTATATAGTCTTGTGGTTAGAGTTTCTATCTTTTCTAGTTTCTAACTATTATTTCAATTTTTCGGTTACATGCTGTGAAGTCTCAAATGCGAGGTTTAAAGGACATCTCCAAAACCGGGAAATTACAGTCAAAGCTGTTTTAAGTTGACCTGCATTAAGCGATCACCCTCTATCAGTTTTGTACGTTCCAAAAATCTTTTCGCTTAATCACTATAAAACTGACCTGTAGTAGGCGGTCATCTCTATTTAGCTGTCATTATCACCGTTTTTGTGGTCCAAATGAGCTATTTTTTATTGTCTCAACTTCTACTAAATGGCTGCTATGTCATGGTGTACCATGCAAGTGGAATAGACACACTGTGCATGGTGTCCAGTGGTTTTTCACTCCCTTTCTTTTGGCGCAAGAAGAGGTAGAAACACTTTTAGGCCAACTTGTTGTGTTATGAATATTTCACTTTGGCGCCATCTTTCTTTTCTTGATTAACTCTTAGGTTTGCCAAGCCTTTACTAAACCGCTAACCTATATTGAGCAGTCAGTTGGCCATTCACCATGGGTGACTACTTAACGCAGGTTTGACTATAAAATCCTTAGAGAGCTTCCTAAGAATAGGTGGCAGGTGGCCTGTCAGACACTAAGATCTATCAATCAATCTATCCTGTCCGTACGATTTTCAGTTATAAAACCTATACCTCAAGTTAAGCAACATAGTTTGCCTATAAAATAGGGCCAAAAGTAATTTGTCAACCAATACACAGGAGCTCTAGCTCTCTGAAACATCT